GTAAGACTTGTAAAGTACCGGTAAAACAGAAAGAACAGTAAGACTTGAGTTGGGCCCAAAGGTTTACTACTCCAGCAGCAACTTCAACAGATCAACTAAGAAACAACAAACCTCAGCTCACAGCATCTGATTCAATTCAATTCAATTTAAATAGCACCAAGTCACAACAGAAGTCGTCTCAGGGCACTGAACAAAACCATTCACATACATTATACTGTAAATGCCAATTAGTAAAAGTGAAGGAAGGAAGCCACTTGATATTAACAATGGGTCAGCTTTGTTTTTAGTTTATGACATACAGTAAGATGATTTTTGTTTCTGATTTTTTTTTATCCTTTTTCTTTTTCACTGACAGTGAGAACTCTGCACTAAATGTTTCTTTGGCAAATACAATGTCTGAAAGGTAAGAGATGTTATCAACTGAGTATTACATTTTTAGTTATGACAATACATTAAAGAGTTTAGATTTTCTTCTCCAGTGATGGTATCACTTTCACACAGTTGTGTTTGAATCACAGCACACATGCAGGTTGACAGTGACGCTGAACCCATTGAACCTGCTCTGTCAGGGACACTGCTCATCCAGCAGAGGGGGCAGCGCTATGAAGATGAATGTGCACCTGAGGTCCACATGCATAAACAGTTTTTAAAATGTACACATTTCAAATTGCACAAGTAGGAAAATTCTGCACGGTCAAATTGTCAATCGTGCACAAATGAAATGAAAAGCTGGGACATCTGAACCTTACCAGATTTACTGAGTTATTAGGAAAATACACATTTTGAACTTGGCACTGAAGCTCCATCCATCCATCCGTTATCTTAACCCGCTTCTTCCCTTTTGTGTCATGGGGGTCACTGGTGCCCATGTCCAGAAGGCACTGTGCGAGAGGCGGGGACACCCTGGACAGGTGTCCAGTCCATCACAGGGACACGAGAGACAAATGAGACAAACAACCATTCACTCTCTCTCTCACCTAGGGACAATTTAGAGTTACCAATCAGCCTAACATGCATGTTTTTGGTCTGTGGGAGGAAACTGGAGTACCCGGAGAAAACCCACGCATGCACGGAGAGAACATGCAAACTTCACCCAGAAAGGGCCCCGGCCTGGATTTGAACCGGAGCGACCTGCTCGCTAAGAGGTGACAGCTCTACCAACTGCACCACCGTGCTGCTGCACAGCAGCTCATGATCCCTATAATAAAACACATTTGCTTTGGTTCATGTTACTGGATTCCAACAACATTACATTTGAGGACTGTACAGCTGAAACCTAAAATTCAATTCAATTCAAAAATACTTTATTAATCCCAAAGAGAAATTATTTGTTGTTGTAACTCGTTATCATCATTTCATTAAGAGAAGTCACAGATACCGATGGCTGTAGATAGGAAGGACCCCTGCAAAGGTCCATCCCACAGTGAACCCCAAGAAACTGGCTGCAGATGCCGTCCGATCTGTCCACCCAGACTCTGCTGGCCTCTCGGTTCCCCCGGGCTGTAGGACCGCCTGAATGCCGGGCAGAACTCCTCCCAGAGCGATGGCCACTCCTCCCAGCAGTCTGCCGAGCTCCTCATCACTGCGGACAGCCGAGCGCAGGCGGCGAGGGTTGACCCCGTCCCTCCGCCGCTACAAGCCGCGTCCCCCGCCAGCTCCAGGATCCCAGCGGTCAGACACCCGAGCACAGCCGACAGGCAGACAAGAGCGCGCCCACAGAACATCCCCCTCAACTCACCAGAGACCTGGGGCCACAGTCGAGACACTACCCAAGCCCTCGAGATGCCAATCAGCCGCTGCCGGTTGCAGAAAACTGCCTTGTTACCATGGTTACGAACCACAACAAATGACCAAAACTTTAAAAAGCCCCAGTAAAAATCATTCCTGCCGCACAGCACCCGAAACCTGAGGAAACAACCATCCAAAAAACGCGCTCCACATCCATTTTGAGGGTTGAAGTTCAAATGTACAGTCCACACAAAAAATACCAGAATACGTGCTGTATGTACTGCTCAAACTTGTGGTATGTTTGTGGATCTTATTGCACACATACAAATCTCCCACCTCTTTATAGTTTCCTTTTTGACGCTGTCATTTTCTAATTTTTTTAAATGAAATCTCTCCCTTCTGTTTGGATCGTCAGTCCCACAGATGAAGCTCGTCAGCTTAAAGCCTTTGGATGATGAGGGATGAGGATTAAACTGGAGAAATGGGCCTAGCTTTGATGAAAGGCAGGTGGCATCATGTTTGTGCCAGAGGATTAAATACACGTAAATAAATCTCAGTCAACTTTTTCACCATTTTCAAAGCAGATACATCATTTTAAAATCTGACAAACATTTTCCGTGATGCAGGCCTACATGAAACGAAGTCTGCACTAACACTGATGTGATCCTTCACATCGACTACTGTATACTAATATTATAATTATTACAGGTCTCTCTTGTAAATGAGTCCTCGAGGCTCAACGAGACTAACCTGTATAAATAAAGGTTGAATTGAATTAAATCAAGTCTGCAATAACTGATCCTGCACATCAAACACAGGATTACACCACGAGGACGCAACTAAAGTGCATTGATTAAAAAAACAGCGATAATTGGATTTTGTGAAAATATGATATTTAATTTGTGGGTCCCTTGAATGAAATGTCTGAAATATGATGAGTGGGTCATCCTAAAAACATGACAGGATTGAGCAAAACGTGTTGTAAGCAGAACATGACGGAATGGTACAGAACTATAATGAGCTGTGATTTATTGCAGTTCAAACAGTTCTTTATTAGAAAGATGCTGCACCCAATAAAATGATGACAACAGTTGATCAATCAGAGTATAGATCTTGTGCAATCAGTCAGAACTGGACAAAACCACGGCTCTGTAAGAAAACGCCACAACAGAAGCTGTCCTAATGTAACAGTGTGAACGCTGAGTCAGCAATCACACTTCTGACTTTCTTCTGTCCGGGTTTTGGAGTCTAACTACTTTTGCAAACTTTGTGCTTTTTTCATTATTCATATAAAAATGTTCACGGAATGGATGCTATGTCTTTTGTATTTTGTAACTTTTATGCTTTTCAAAATATGTAACTTTATTTACAAATGAATTCCCCATAGAAATAAATACATGGAGATGTCAGGTTCGAGAGATCAGACCCATGCAGAGCAACATGAGGAGCTCAGAAATTAAAAGATTTAATAAAATGAGACTAAACAAAAGGCTGGAGTGGCAGAAAAAAGTACAAAACAACAAAACTCAACGAGTCAAGGAAGCAACGCAGCTGGTTTTGTAGTGCGCAATGATCAACTGAGAGACTAAATGGACTGGGCTGATGAGGACAAAGGAGGCAGGATATGATAACAGAGACCAGGTCCAGGTGGGCGTGGCAGGACTGAGGAGCAGATGCTGCTGAAAACACTGCAAAACAAGGAAAATACAGAAAGAAACAACCAAAAACACTAATCATGACATCTCTTCAGTTCTTTTGAAAATATGAAATCTGCTTCAGCTAACTGGATCTATTTTTATTTTTATATGCAACTGTTTGGTTTAGGCTGCCCTTTTGCCACATTTAGCTTTTAGCTACCATTTAGCTACCTTATCAACTATTCTTTTTTGCTTTGTTTAGCTTTTAGCTACAGTTTTACTGATTTTAGCTGATCATTCGACACTGTTACATACAGTTTGGCTATTAGCTTCTCCAGTGTAGATTTTAGCTACTGTTTATATAATGTTGATTGTGTTAGTGTGTTTTATTAATGTTAGCATCTGTTTTGCTACGTTTAGTCAATTAATATGTTTTTCAAATTTTGACTTTTATTAAGCTCATTTTACAAACATTTAGTTGATGCCCAAAAAAGTTCAGTCTGGTCCTCTGGACATTCAAAAAAACAAAAAACAAAACAAAGCAAAAAAATACAGAAACGTTTCGTCTCTCATCCAAGAGACTTCCTCAGTCTGAGGTGCTGTATTCAGCTCAGTCTCTTAAATAGCACCTTCTCAGAGTGGATCAACCAGTTTGCTGCTGACAACCAGAACCAGCTGATCACATGCTCAAGAAGGACCATCAGCCTAACAATGGATCATTAGCACCTGATGGCTGTTTACTGTTCACAGAGGGCTGAGTGATACTAGCAATCACAGCATTGTAAGAGGGGGACAGTTGAACCCGGAGGCCTCCACCCCTGTTTAATGATGGACGATTTCTTTTCACAAAGATGGCCTCCTTTACTCCTCTCTCAAACCATCGTTCCTCTCTGTCCAGGATGTGAACATCTTCATCCCTGAAAGAGTGACC